GCAGGTATGTGGCGTACATCTCTGTCTTTTCCGCTGGCGTTGCAAGCGCGCTCCTCCTAAGCTAAAAGAGCGTCCACTGAGAAATAAAACACAACAATCAAATGTCAAAGAGACCCTGCAATGCCTGTGACCAACATCCACTCCACCCTGCTGGCCTGGCCTCTCTGCTCACTGCTGCAAAATAATGGAAGCAAAATAGCATATCAAAATATGCATTCTCAATCAATAGTAAACTAAAATGCAAACACAGTGGATTAAACTCATATCAAAGTGCTTTAAAAGATTAGCTGAAATTCCATGGGTTAGTTCAGCATTTGTAAAATGCACTCACTTGCTGTCTTGCAAGAAATAGTAAAGATTTATATTTCTCTAATATTCAGCTTTTGAATATGAAAACATACTGTATTAGCTGAGCATGAATCCTAAAATCAGAAAACAGAGCCTGTCTCTTCCTTAAAAGTATAAAACTGGATAACCTAAAGGTTTAAAATCACTAACAAATTAATTCTTACTCTTTTTCTAGTGAAAAGAGTGAAGTAAAGGCCACCGTGGACCCAGAATGACGTGGACCCAGCTGAAGAGAACGGTCCAGAACAGAGTCCGTTGGCGCGATGTTGTTGCAGCCCTATGCTCCACCAGGAGTCTACAGGCTTGACGATGATTTAAGTGAAAATAGCATACAGTTTTATGGTTTTAATAATGTGTCTCCGATACATTAAAACTGTTTGAGTTCAGGTCTGAAAACCAAAAATTGTATTCATCAATCATTCATTTTCTTTCACTTATCCATTTCAGGGTTGCGGTTGGCCTGGAGCCTAACCCAGCGGGGTAAACCCTAGACATGTACCACAGGCCTAACAAGAAACACACAGCCATTCACATCTAAGATCAACTTAAAGTCACCAATCAATCTAACATGCATGTGTTCACACAGTCCCAAAGAGTTCCTGAAGTAAAAGTCATGGGGAGAATATGCAAACTCCACACAGAAATGTTGCATAACTCAAAAACGTCTTGCTGTGAGGCAATGGGGCTAAACACCACAACACACAGCGGTGTTGCCCAAATTTTATTGATAGAGATAAAATTCCAGAAGAATAGATGTATAGAAATGCATTTTTATTAGAAATGATGCATCTAGATCTATTTAGGACTTTATTTAGGACATTATAAGGTACTCAAAAAAATTCTGACAACAAATCTGTGGAGCAAACACCAAAGACGGCAGTTAAAGGAGATGATAAGTGTTTTCATGCACTGACATGAGTGCACAGCTGAGGTTCACGGCTGTTGTCGCAGATAAATCTAACACTTGAGGCAAAGATACACATGAGTAAATGTATTGTTTTATGGGTTTATTGTAGCCTTCACATAACTTGACATGACAGGCGTTTTTGCGGGACGAGCCAGAAACACTAAACACCACCAATACTACCAATTTTGCTCATTTGTAAAAGACATAGGAAAGAAGAACATAAGGATGATAAGAAGTTATGAACCTTGTTTCAAAGCAAGAAAGCTGTTCTCAATTACCCGAAATAACTTCTCGGCACTGTTACTAATAGCAGCTTTCTTGAAGCTTTGCTTCAAGAAAGACTTTTTTAGAGTCACTGTTGATCAGGGGCAAAAATGTTGTCTGGACAACAACGTGTTTACATGACAGTGTACCTTTCCTGTTTTCTTTTTCATGCATGTACCCAGCGGGTTTGAGTAGGAGTGAACAGGAAAGGGGATGAGCAGCAGAGGGAACATCAATACTCAGTCTGACAGAGCAGACTGTTTCCCTCTGTGTGACACACTCTCATTGATTCACAGACGTGCACACATACACATGTCAAAGGTGTAGGCACAACAGAAAAAGGCCACTTGCTACATCACCCTAAATGATTTAAACAGTGTTAGATTCAACTATTATGGACTTCTTCTCATTCTTAAATCCCTAAACTCCAAGTCCGTCTTTATTTCATACTGATGATTTCCCGATCTTTCTTTCCATCTCTGTGCTCTCTCTCTGTAACTAATCCCTTCCTTGACGACAGGTGAGATCAACTAAGGCCTCCTGTGACTCCACCAGCTGACAAATCAAATCCAAATGGATCTAGATGAGCTCAAGGAAAAAGTGAGTCACATGCGTGTGTTTAACTTCACTAGTGGATTTCCGTTGTTCTTTTTTGCGCACGGTTGTTGTTGTTGTAGTCTACATATATTGGGTGGAGCTCACGCATACAGACTGGTTGCATGTGTCCATCTAAACTGACAGATGGCCAGAGGAAATGACATCTATACCAAGCGCCGTGCAACATAACTGCCCTTGCTCTCCTCTGCTCTTGCTATTACATGAGTCACTGTCTCTGGATGCTCGTGTGCATGTGTGTTTTTATAAAGGTGACTCTATCATGATTGTTAGGGGCAGCTGGCACAGTGCGGTCTGCCAGGATGCTGTGTCAGAGGCCATGCGAGGTGCCTGGTCCAGGAGCCCAGTGCCTACAGCTAATACCTGTCAAATCACATTACACATACAGCGTGTCACGAGTGAGATGAGCTCAGATCTGAGCTGCAGCAACCTGGCATGTGCATGCATATGGGTGTGGGTGTTGGTGATCTATGTGTTTTGGAAAGTGGTTTCAGTGTGAGGGTGGTTGTTTTGGTACACTACACAAAACAATTCAAAATAAAATATGGGTGTGGGAAACTGAAATTTCTCTCTAAACAAAATTAAGAAAAGACTGCATTTTGTAGTCTTTTCTCCACAAGTGTTACTGATGATTCTGTGGGATGATAATGGTTGGACACACTCTCCAATTTGTATTGTTTTATGTGTGCGTGTGTGTGTTCAAGTTTAAGCTGAAGACATTCAAATGCGACTTTGAGAGTGAATAAACTGAATATATTTATAAATTAAACTTGAATGTCAGCCCAGCTGAGCGAATGTTCTATGAATAACGATGTGCTGGAAGCTGTTGGAGCAGCTGCGAGATGTTGCGATGATGAAGTTTTCCTCCTGCTGGAATTTTTTTTTAAAAAGCAGAAACCTTGAAAACAGAAAATGTCAAAAGAACCTGCGCCTAGAATTACAACGCTTCTCGCTACACAAGTTTCTCTGATTGAATTTGATCAAGTCAATCAATTGAGGTTTGAGGGGTCATAGTGTGTGGTAAACAGTGTGCAGAAATACTAAAGCTCTTTCAAAAATGGTGAATACACCTCAAGTCTGCACACAGTGGCAGAAAATGGGTACAGTAGCACAGCTGGATGGTAGATGACTTTAAATACCATCCAAAGTAACAGGTGCGCAAGAGTGGCAAGCAAGAAGGTGGAGGAAGGGTAGAGTGTGTGGAGGCGAGTGTCAGGAGTGATTTGTGACAGAAAGATAACAGCAACAGTAACAGTGTGTGCAAGATGGTGACACCTGCTATGATCGATGTTTTATAGATGGTGGCGCTGATAAAAACACAGGAGGTCTGGCTGGAGGTAACAGACCTAAAGATGCTAAGATTTTCACTAGCAGTGGCCAGATAATTAGAAATGAGTGCATGAGAGGGATAACTCAGGTTAACAATTGTTGAGACATATTTAAAGACACAAGGTTGAGATGGTTTGGACATGGTCAGCGAAGAGATGGTGGATGCACGGGGCAACTGATGCTGAGCTGTTAAGCAGGAGGAGAAGATGACCACAGAGAAAGTTCACAGATGTAGTGAAGGAGGTCATGCAGACTGTTGGTGTGGCAAAGGATACCAGGAATAGAATGACGTTCCGCATCCACACTATTGTTTTCATTCATTTTCACAGAGTTGTGCGTCCACAATGGCCAAAAACACTTACGTTCCAGTACTGCGCATGCGTGAAGTGCAAGATGTTGAGGAAAAGCAGTGAATTTTTTAAATGGACTAACAATGAGGTGGAGTTGTTGCTGCGAGTAACACAAAAGTACAACGTTGGAAAAGCGAGTGAGAGTTAAAGAATTTGAAGAAAAGCTATCTAAATGTACAAACTAATATTAGTCTTTAATAGGGCTGTCAAAATTGAGAGCAAACATAACAACTGATGTACAATGCCCTCCGCTATCTTAGTTTAATTGGTCACATGACTACATCACATGACTAAAATGTGTCATCGTTTTCGAAAAGGCTCCTGGTTCGCTGTACACACTGCGTCGCGAAAGCGGCGCTTTCAAATGAACGTTTTCAAAAAGCTCTGTTTTCCTTGACCAAAAACGCCGTCTCAGTGTGGATGGAAGGCCAAAACGGAGAGAAAAATATGCATTTTCAAACGAAAACGTTTTAGTGTGGACATGGCCTAAGGCACATTATCTGCTGTGGTGACCCCAAAAAGGGAGCAGCTGAAGGAAGAATAAGAAGGAGGAGTGCGTCACCGCCAACTGAGACCCTCTCTGTGCCTGTGTGGGTCCTCCAAGGCTTCTCTAGCTTCTTCCCATAGTCCAAAAAAAATGCATGTTAGGTTAATTGGTTATTGTATATTGATGTAGGTGTGAATGTAGGCATGAATGTTGCTTTAGGCCCCAGTGCCAGCAGGGATAAGCTCCATCTCCCCTACGCTGGATAAACAGTTCAGGAAAAAAAGGATGCAGATCTCATTTTTAGCCTAATTAACATGAATTCAACATCTGAGCAATAAGAGGGAGGACAGATATGAAGAGGACGATGCTTGGCCTGAGGATAAAACACATGCTAGGAAATGTGGGAAAAGTGATTATGACAGCCTTTTTTTGGACAGAGATGACTAAAGCTGACCATTTTGTTCACAGTGTAGCAACAGCACACCTACACAAGAGTTAGATGTTATACTGTACGATAAGAGGGTGTGTTCTAGGTGGGATCAGACAAACCAGATAGAAAATACAAATTAGAACAACAATTAAGATGTTTTTATCTGGGCTATGAAAATAGATGTAGATGTTCTGAATCGGTGCAGTGTTCACACAGGTACAGTCACAGTTTGAGGGGTGGCGGTGGCTTTAGTCTCCTGGGTCTACTCACTAATCTCCAGCTGTCTCTGAATGCGTCCCTTGCAGCGCTCCCTGTAGTCCGACTGAGTGGTGTTGTATTCTGACATCACCTCGACAAATTTACGGGACAGTGTGGAGTGCTGCAGAGACAAGGAGAAACAACAAACCACTTCACCTGAGTCCGACTGATGCTGGCGCCAGACAGTAAATAAGAGAAGTAAGAATAAAGTCAATGCTACGTGAACAGGAGTGTAGCAGTGTACCAACTGCATATTACACACTAATTACATGCAAATGCACCATGTTCAGAATGGAAATAGGACAAATAGGCCCAACAAGTATACTCAAAGCAGTGAGTATAATACTATACTATGAATACTAACAGGAACACTTGATATTTTCATGTGCTGTTTGATAGACACCATTAATCCACATTGTAATGGGAGGAGGTAATGGAGGAACCTCTCACATGTGAGTTTTATTTGTGATTACGGTTAGAGTTGGGGGTTTGAATGCCATGATGTCATCATCTGTGAAGTTGTCTCATCTTTGCTGATTGTCTGAGAGAAATCCAGCGATGTCCTCACAGAGTGGGGAGGGTGTTAACTAAAGTACTTAAATATGGCTCACCGTCATGCAGTAAGATGCAACTGGAGCACAGCTGTGATTCTTCTGCTTCCCTGAACTGTACCTGTGTTTTACGTATCCTCAGGTCGGCCGATGACCTGTTCTGCCCCTCCTCTTGCTCAATGGTTTGTTGGATACCTGGGCAAATGCACAAAAGTACACATTTGATCAACAGACAGCTGCTCTCTTTGAATAAAGCCTCCAATGCTGCTGTCTGCCTGTAGAGATTAATTAAATCATACACAACGTACAGATTAGATGAATTAACAAAGATACCAATGATTTAGCTGTTCAGTAGTAGTGAAAATAAGGGTACGAATCCGTTGATGATACCAGAGGAAAGACGAGGAGGTTAATAAAAATCAAAAATGAACTGTAACCACGAGAGCAGAACTGTGCTCGCAAATCCTCATGGTACTCTGCTAAATAGATTATGAGGAACGGCAGTTCATTTTGTGTGCAGATCTGGCATTTTGTCCTGAGGCTAGAGCAAGAAGAACGGTCCAGAGGTTATTAAAAATACAAGAATTCAATATCTGGAGACCACAAACATACACATCCAAATTTATTAGAAATCCAGCTATTTGTTTTTGAGATACCGTGTTACAAGGTGGACAAGGGAAAGGATGAACTGTTACAAGAGGAAAGGCTAGGAGGTCAAATCATAATCAATAACACTCTGGAGGCTGTGAATTTTTTACCGCATTCGGTCAATGCTTGTGAAGCTGGGAGTGAAAGTGCTGGACACTTTGTCAATAGGGGAATCAAATTCTAATTCAACACCTGTAATCAAGAGGATGTGATCTATGATCTATGTATTAAACTATAATTATAACCCGGGGGTGGTTATTATATCTACGTATAATAATGTAGTAATGCACCAAGATTGCCATACATGCATGACACAAAGATTAACTAATCATACGTCAAATCAGTCACTCAGATGAATAATTGATGATGTGGAAGAAGCAGTGACTATTAAGAAATTCATCAAGGTACAAATTACTGGGGTGACTGTTCCCGTTCTAGTTTTCCAGTGACATGTTAGTGTGTAATAGTCACTTTTTCTTGGCTGCTTCTTCGCTGTCACACATCAGGAAGATGCTGCCGAGCATAATAACGTAAATGAAAGGCCATCAGAGGCCACGGGAAGTACTGTTGCTGAAATATACAGAGATGTAGCTTTCATTTAAATCCAGTTTTTCATTTAAGATGGGATTGGATGGCTGATGAAGGCTGCTACACCTTCATGGACACATCTTACAGTGAGATGTGCAGCTACACCTGACTTGTTACTGTAAGGGTCTGTGCTCGTTTCTATTTATACACACAGCTTCAGTATAACAAACTATCACAGCTCATAGGGTGTTAAAAACATGATAACTCATAATAAATTACTTGCTTTCAGGATCTCTGAAAAACGTGTACATTTAACATCCATTTATCGATCGGTCTTGATCGATTCAGCCACTGGGGATGCTTCCTTTTTGCCAATTAACTACAACTGTGTATTATTTGGAAAACCCAGACAGGCTAGAGGAGTTGCTTTATTTATTTAACACAATAATTGGTTGTGTCACAAAGGAGACATTGTATTTTAATTGTTCCAGGAAAATCCACGATGGGTTTTTGATTTACTTTAACATAATCAGTATTGTGCATCATTTAGAAATCATTTCAAATTGGATTTTTGCCTTGAATGTGTTTCCAAAACCACTGAGAGCATGATTAAATCCACTCTTTGAGCTTGTTAAGTCTGTGTCTTCACAGTGCCAGGCTGCGCTCAGTACAACCTAAGAGTATTTATAACTCTAGGCACATATAGCTAATTAGGTACATCTTGTCCACAGCACAGAAAACGATCCTTTGCTTCACTACTCATACAAGTTTTTTCTTAATAAATAGTTTAGGTGCATGAAAATAAACCACTAGCACAAATATAAGAGGTCCTCAACAGCCAAAGCAGACTGTATATGCAGTACTCAATGCAGTATTGGTATTGTGAAATTAAAAATCTTCATTAATACTATAATTTCCCATATTTATTCTTAACTGGAAAGCTATTTAAAAAGGCATTTGGTACATTTACCAGTTTTCTAGGAGGTACAAAGAATTCACTTTTTAATTGTCTTATTTTTCAATTTTGCTATTTTGATGCTTAAACCTACTTATTTGAATTCTTGGTATTTCTTGAAGTAAACTTTCTTTAAAACTAAGTGAACAATTGACCTCACGAGTCTCTCTAAAGCAAAAATAAGCTGCAGTCACCTTACAACCAATTAAAAATAAATAAATCAGTGGTTGCCTGGTGATTCCGGTATTTTGTTATGTTGTTGTGATTATGCTGATGATAAAATGCCAGATTCAAACAACTGCTTCAAATAAATAAATAAAAAACTGCATTGAGCCAGTTGTCTTGACTTCCACAAGTGCTTGCCTGCAGAACTTCAGCAGCGATTAATATAATAACTTTATGTTCATTTTGATTTACCAAAATGACCATAATTCAAAAAGACCAAGATCGACCTCTGAACCATCTGTTGTCTGTTTGCAAAGACATTTTGAATTATTCATAATGGTTAAAGAATACACATGAAATACAGTGGAGAAAATAATTATTTGGTCGTCTGCTGAATTTGTAGTTTTGATCACTTACAAAGAAATTTTTATAGTAGTTTCATTATAATGGAGGGAGACATAATATCAGAAAAAACACATTACATAAAATATATAGATTGAATTGCATGTCATTGATTGAAATGAGTATTTGATCCTGAAGCAAAACAGGTGGAGAACACTTTGTTGCTGAACACAGCGGTAAGCTGTTTAATTGTTCTTGGTCATCAGGTTTGCACAGATTTCAGGAGGGATTTTGATTCACTCCTCTTTACAGAAACTCTAAATCCTTTAGATTTCTGCTGTTTCAACCCCCCAAACAGATTTTCTACCGACTGAGGTCTGGAGACTGGAAAGCTCACGCCATGACCTCAAAGTGCTTCTTATTTAGCCACTCCATTGTAGCCTTGAAGACATGTTTTCAGTCTTTGTCATGCTGTGTAATCAATGGTGTCCTGGGTGACTGTGGTTCCAACTGCTTGTAGATCATGAATAAACTCCTCTGGTGTAGTTTTGTGCTGACCCACCACTTTTCTCATGATCATCCTGACCCCATGACCCATGAGGGCAACTGATGGTCATTTTATATTTATTCCATTTCCAAATTATTGCACCAACAGCTGTCAATGTCAATTCAATTTTATTTATATAGTGTTCACTAAGCTTCTTGCTGATGGTATTTTAGCCCATTCCAGCCTTATGCAGGTCTACAATCTTGTACCTGATGTCCTTTGACGGCTATTTGATGTTGCTCATGGTGGTGAAGAGGTCAGGACAGGTGTGCTTTATGCACATAATGAGTTGATTCACTGATTCTGATTTGTATGCTACATCTATGCTAGCCTGAGTTCTCGCAAGGTAGGAGGGGATCAAATACTTATTTCACTGAACAGCATGGAAATCAATTTCTAACTTTTATGTGTTGTTTTTTCTGTGTTTTTGGTCAATATTCTGTCTCTCTCCAATAAAATGAAACTATCATAAAAATTAGAGACTGCTAATTCCAGCGAGCAAACTGAGCAAGGGGTTCAAATAATTATTTCTCCTACTATACTGCTGTTGCTCCCTCTTCAGGATCCATCATAGGGTGCACTCTGAGGTCACTCAGTGAAACACACAGAAAGCAGCAACACAAAGGTATCCTGTGGCATCAAATGACGTGAACTGGAGTGACACAGTGGACTGTGATGCAAGGCCTGGTCTGCCTGACAGCACTTTGTCAAGCGTGTGCCTCCCGATACATATATGTATGCTTATCATTGTGTCTCCAGGCTGTAGGCATGCCAGATGAAGGATAAGGCAATCATCTTCTAGTTCTGTGCACCGAAGTATATATTTATCTTCCTTTAATACAGAGTATACCGTTTCTTTACTGAATCTATGAGTGTAAACCAAGTCATTTGTCAGCTGCCAAATGCTATACAGTTCACTGTCTCATTATGTCTCGCTTGTTACCATCTCGCCGATCCTAAGAAAGTACCAGGACCACGAGATAAACCACTGTGCACACATATAATAAACAGCGCAAGAAAATTATTTTACATGGTCATTAACCAGTTAATTGGTCTCTAATGTATGAAATTAAGATATTCAGTTTGCTAACACATTGAAAATGCTTGTCAGAATCTCTATAGTCCCATGTTGGCAGTCCAAAGCCTTCATTTTTCAGTTTACAGTGATGTAAGTCAAGGAAAAGCTGCAAAATCTGAGAAACTGCAACCTTAAAATATTTCAGACTTTTTGCTTAAAAAAAAAAGAGATAGAAATTAAACATTTTACTCCTGGTAGTTTCATAAACAGTTATTAAAAAATTCCTCACATCCTTGTAGACAATAAAACAATTTTGAGCATTTATTACATAAAAATCCTGTCATACTCAAAAGTGCAATAATTTTTGGATGCCAATCAGAGTTTTGGGAACCAACTGGTCACTAATTCTCAGAACAAGGCACATTTAAATAAATTAAACAAATGCAAAAAAGTTGAAGCAGCATAGAAAATAATAGTAGCGGCTCTGGCAGGCGAAAAGAGAAAGAAAGTATACCCACTCTTTAACTTGGAGCGTACTTTATTGGCCAACTTCTTGATGTCTGCCATAAGATCCTCAAGTTCAGCTTTAGTTTCTGAGAGGAGATGAGACAAAAAGGAGAGGATGTGTTAGTGGATTACATACTAACTCAGCCAAACACATAAACCACTGGGAAATACGATTTCACAGGCACCGACTCCATACTGACACACAGGAAGTGTCGCTCCCAACAGAGACGAACATTCATCACTTTCAGTCCACAGCAGCACAATTCATCCTTCTTAATGCTTCTTTTCTATAGGGAGTAACTACATCCTCCCTTTTCTCTTGCAGTCTTTCGTCTTCTTTCCAGGTTTACACTGTTAAATATTCACATTTATATTATAGAGACACAAAGATACAGATCAATGAGTGTGGAGCCGGTGCAGAGCCAAAGAGTGGCAGGACCACTACAAGCTAAAGAATGGCCACACAAATAGTGGTGGAGACGCTAAGGGGCTTGCACATGTTAACTGCAATAGGTACCGTTTCTTTTTTCTTCTTCCTACAGAGCACTGCCATGAAGAAAAATCAAGCCATTAGTTTGTGTGCCAAAGTAAGTAATGATCTTGTCCTGGTCCTACAAAGTTTCCTACTTTGACCTCTGGTGAGGACAAAGATGTGATCGTAGCAATAAGTCAAATCATGATGGATGAAAAATCTGGCCTACAACAAGATGAATTTAGTATATTTTAGTATATACTGTATAAATTTGATATAGATGATGGAGTTACTAATACATTTAAAATCTCTGCCGGCAGTTTGTACTGATCGTTTAATACGTAGAAAATGTTCAAATGGAGAAAACAGCGGGTACTAGAACTGGAACAACTGGTGTAGCTTTGATCAACGATGAAGACTTGAAACATTTGCTAGTTTCAGGTCAAATCAGTATAATATGTTATAGGAAACAGGGAAAAAGGTAAAAATTTCTCTTGTCACACCTTCCCAATGCTGGCTAGTCATTAGATTGCCTTGGCAACAGGCATAACCTACCGTCTTTACTGTGCTACTCTAAATTTTCTGAACCCTCAACAGTAGCCTAAGTGTATGATAATCAGACACATTTTTACATTCAAATGTTTACAAGAGGGACCAAAGATGGCATCATTTGCTGAAGAGAGTGAGGGTCTTGGAACAGGGCACTCATGAGGATTCACAGAAAGGAAAGGTCAGCACTAAGTGGAGAGCATAAAGAAAAAAAGAATGATGCCTTCACCCCTCTATCCAGCCATCCATGGGCATGTTTAACACTTTATTTTGTGAGCACAAAGGAAGTTTTTCTCTTCAGTGAAACCTTCAAAAGTCAGCAGCAGTGAAGGGCCCACTCGAGTGCTTTCCATGTTTTGTTTTGTTTTTAATGATAAACTGAAGAACCAAATGTTGCCCATTATACTTTCATCTGAGGCAAACATTTTCATTTTGCTTCAGGTTATCACAAATGTGAAAAAGGCACTGGAAATACATTTTATTTTGTGTAGCAGTCAAATTTGTGGCTTTTTCCATGTAAAAGGGCCACTGAAGCATTAACCATTGCCTGTTTAAAGGCTGAATACATCCATTTACACTGAAGAGGATTCATCTTTTTTCATATATGGATCTACATTTTCTTATAAATGTGCAGAAGTGCATTTTCATAATTTTTTCCATGTGCATTCATCACCAACACAACCTCAATTAACCTCAATTTATTTAGGGCATGCTATTTCGTTGTTACAGTGAAATAATTGCATGGCCTCATATTAGAAAGTACGTGGTTAATCATTTGCTTTATGACAACGACGGCAGTGCAGGAAGTAGCAGGGAGATAATAACATTTACAGTGCTGTGAAAAAGTATTCGCTTCCTTCCTGGCTTCTTAGTTTTATGCATATTTATCACACTTAAATGTGTCAGATCATCAAACAGATGCTAAAATTTAGGAAAACATAACCTGAATAAATACAAAGTGCAGCTTTGAAAGCATTATTTCATTTATTAAAGGACAAAAAAGCTCTTCGATCTTACTTGACCCTGTGTGAAAAAGCACTTCCCTCCTAAACCAGATAAGAACTCCAATCAAGATCTGTGATAATTGTGAGTTTGTCACATCACTGTAGGAATTGTTGCCCAATGTCCTTTGGAGATTTTTTTTAAATTTCCGCCTCTGTGATGCCAAAAACAACCTGACCCATCAGGGCATGGACAGAACACCTCTGGCTTCATCTGGAAATACAAATCATTTGAGTCCCGCAAGTTGTTGTGCAGGACCTCTGCTGATGCTACTTGTTCTATTAACCTTCCCTAAAACGCTCAATAGGTCTGAGAACTTGACAGTTTGGAGGCCAAGTCAACAGCATCTTGGTATTTTGTATTTCTTTGTATTTCTTAGTTTTTGAAGTGTAGCAGGATGAAATGTGACAATGAAAACTGCCATTTCCATAAGTTTGGTACACATCCAAGCTTTATTGTGTTTACACAGGTGCATCCACTTACAGGCATCCACAGGAGCTGTTGCAAATTCCACTTAAATCTTCTTACAACTGCCCTAATGCAGATTAGTGTTAGCTTAAAAATGCTGTTTAAGGGTTAAAGTAAAGTGCTACCCATTGCTTCAATTTTCACTACGGAGGGGAGAAAAAAAAAAGTCAGAGAAAATGGAAAAGCTTTCACACAT